TTTATATATATATTACATTATATACATTCATATTTATAAATGCATGTATGTCTAAGTAACACTAATAATCAAACAAGAGGACAATAATTTGTGAGGGAGTGGAGAGGACCAAGGATGACCACGGAGGACCAGGGAGGACTGAGGAGGATCACGGAGGACTGGGGAGGACCGGGGAGGACTGAGGAGGACCGGGGAGGACCGGGGAGAACCGAGGAGGACTGGAGAGGACTGGGGAGGACCAGGGAGGAGTTGAAGGGAGGATCAGGGAGGACCGGGGAAGATCGGAGAGGACCAAGGAGGAGTTGAAGGGAGGACTGGGGAGGACCAGGGAGGACTGGGGAGGACCAGAGAGTTGAAGGGAGGACTAGGGAGGACCAGGGAGGAGTTGAAGGGAGGACCGGGGAGGACCGGAGAGGACCAGGGAGGAGTTGAAGGGAGGATCAGGGAGGACCAGGAAGGACCGGGGAGGACCGGGGAGGAGTTGAAGGGAGGATCACGGAGGACCAGGGAGGACCGAGGAGGAATGGGGAGGACCGGGGAGGACTGGGGAAGAGTTGAAGAGAGGTCCAGGGAGGAGCAGGGAGGACCACGGAGGACCACGGAGGACTGGGGAGGACTGGGGAGGACTGGGAAGGAGTTGAAGGGAGGACCAGGGAGGACCAGGAAGGACCAGGGAGGAGTTGAAGGGAGGACCGAGAGGACCAGAGAGTACCAGGGAGGAGTTGAAGGGAGGACCAGGGAGGACCAGGGAGGAGTTGAAGGGAGGATCAGGGAGGACCGGGGAGGATCGGAGAGGACCAAGGAGTTGAAGGGAGGACTGGGGAGGACCAGGGAGGAGTTGAAGGGAGGACCAGGGAGGACCAGGGAGGAGTTGAAGGGAGGATCAGGGAGGACCGGGGAAGATCGGAGAGGACCAACAAGGAGTTGAAGGGAGGACTGGGGAGGACCAGGGAGGACTGGGGAGGACCAGGGAGTTGAAGGGAGGACTAAGGAGGACCAGGGAGGACCAGGGAGGATTTGAAGGGAGGACCGGGGAGGACCAGGGAGGACCAGAGAGGACCAGGGAGGAGTTGAAGGGAGGATCAGGGAGGACCAGGAAGGACCGAGGAGGACTGGGGAGGACCAGGGAGGACTGGGGAAGAGTTGAAGGGAGGTCCAGGGAGGAGCAGGGAGGACCACGGAGGAGCAGGGAGGACTGGGGAGGACTGGGGAGGACTGAGGAGGAGTTGAAGGGAGGACCAGGGAGGACCAGGAAGGACCAGGGAGGAGTTGAAGGGAGGACCGGGAGGACCAGAGAGTACCAATGCCTGTCTGACTACAGAATGCCTGTCTGACTACAGAATGCCTGTCTGACTACAGAATGCCTGTCTGACTACAGAATGCCTGTCTGACTACAGAATGCCTGTCTGACTACAGAATGCCTGTCTGACTACAGAATGCCTGTCTGACTACAGAATGCCTGTCTGACTACAGAATGCCTGTCTGACTACAGAATGCCTGTCTGACTACAGAATGCCTGTCTGACTACAGAATGCCTGTCTGACTACAGAATGCCTGTCTGACTACAGAATGCCTGTCTGACTACAGAATGCCTGTCTGACTACAGAATGCCTGTCTGACTACAGAATGCCTGTCTGACTACAGAATGCCTGTCTGACTACAGAATGCCTGTCTGACTACAGAATGCCTGTCTGACTACAGAATGCCTGTCTGACTACAGAATGCCTGTCTGACTACAGAATGCCTGTCTGACTACAGAATGCCTGTCTGACTACAGAATGCCTGTCTGACTACAGAATGCCTGTCTGACTACAGAATGCCTGTCTGACTACAGAATGCCTGTCTGACTACAGAATGCCTGTCTGACTACAGAATGCCTGTCTGACTACAGAATGCCTGTCTGACTACAGAATGCCTGTCTGACTACAGAATGCCTGTCTGACTACAGAATGCCTGTCTGACTACAGAATGCCTGTCTGACTACAGAATGCCTGTCTGACTACAGAATGCCTGTCTGACTACAGAATGCCTGTCTGACTACAGAATGCCTGTCTGACTACAGAATGCCTGTCTGACTACAGAATGCCTGTCTGACTACAGAATGCCTGTCTGACTACAGAATGCCTGTCTGACTACAGAATGCCTGTCTGACTACAGAATGCCTGTCTGACTACAGAATGCCTGTCTGACTACAGAATGCCTGTCTGACTACAGAATGCCTGTCTGACTACAGAATGCCTGTCTGACTACAGAATGCCTGTCTGACTACAGAATGCCTGTCTGACTACAGAATGCCTGTCTGACTACAGAATGCCTGTCTGACTACAGAATGCCTGTCTGACTACAGAATGCCTGTCTGACTACAGAATGCCTGTCTGACTACAGAATGCCTGTCTGACTACAGAATGCCTGTCTGACTACAGAATGCCTGTCTGACTACAGAATGCCTGTCTGACTACAGAATGCCTGTCTGACTACAGAATGCCTGTCTGACCATAGAATGCCTGTCTGACTACAGAATGCCTGTCTGACTACAGAATGCCTGCCTGACTACAGAATGCCTGCCTGTCTGACTACAGAATGCCTGTCTGACTACAGAATGCCTGTCTGACTACAGAATGCCTGTCTGTCTGACTACAGAATGCCTGTCTGACTACAGAATGCCTGTCTGACTACAGAATGCCTGTCTG